TATTCAACTCTAAGAGTAGATGCCCGAATCACTGTGTGAAGATGGATCCTGAACCTGTACATAAGGATCAACTGGGAAAAGCTCTGTGATCCATTAGAGATGCCTGCCATGAGCTCTGAAATGAGGAAGAAGCATTAGGTATTAAATTTTTTACCATCACTAAATCTCTTAATAAGGGAATTCACTACCTCCAAGACAGCTGACTATATACAATAATTTTTTTAGTAATAGAAAACTATAAAATCAATTATGGCTCATATTTTGACAAAGTTATTGTTTTATATTGGCTATTTCCATTTTCCTTAGTTCTAATATGAAAAATTAATTATGTGAATTAGCAAGGCAACTAAACACCAATGTCTTCATTCTTCCTTTGTTTGTTTATTTACTCATTTATTCATTCATTCAATGTATTTGACTAATATGTTGATCTTTAGGAAGTTATTTACTTTCTCTGTTCTCCTTTCTCCTCATCTGAGAAGAGGGTAATAATAGTCCTTACTTCACAGGATTGGTGGCAGGTTAGATAAGTCAGGTAAAACATGTAACACAGTGCCTAGCACATACTACATGGTCAGTAAAAGGTAGCTCTTATAAAAGTGCTACGTGCTCTATGTGCTAAGTACTGGGTTAAATGCTAGGGATATGGAGACGTCCAAGACATGGTCCTTGCTCTCGAAGGGGCCTAACAGTGTCAGGATCGCTCTGATTGACAAAAGCACAAGGTGTTTTGAAAGCTCATAGAAGGGTAAACTAGCCTAGATTTGGGGGCTGGTAAGGAAATGTCCACCCACAAAAAGATATAGCTAAGCCATGTTTTCAAAGATAAGTAAAAAGTCTCCTAGAACCGGAATCTTAAACTAGCCAATGAAGTTGAATAATATAAAAATAAAACTGAACACGGTCAAGGATGGCTAATAGGATGAGTTGCCTCTACCAGTTTTATGCCATATCTTATCGCTGCGGGGGTGTACCTTGCTTTATGTGATGAAAGGCTATATGTAGGTCAATATATTTTTTAAAGGTCACTGGACATAAAGGTGATCTGGCTGTGCAGCTTGCAGGCATCTAATAGCAAGCTCCTTTTTAAAGTAACGATCCATTCCTAAACTATCTCTTCTGAAATCTTGCCTGGAACATATGTCCTATCTGTGGCTCTGCCCATCTAAGTCCTACCTAATTCAAGGTTCAGTTTAAATGCCTTCTCCACTCCAAAAAAAACACCTTCCTCTGACTGTCCTGTCTGTGCACTTCTAAGTCACTTATCCTTATTTGAACCCCTTTGGTACACGTTACAAAAGGCCTTATATTTTGAAGGTGCTATAATTTGTGCACATTTCTCAGTATTCTTAATGATAGTGGTCACCTCGTCCACTTCTCCAAGATCCATAGAATGCCCATCAACTCAACTTGTACAAAGGAGCCCTCAGCACCATTGGGTTGATAATAAATTCAGACTTTTCACTTCATTCGTGTAATCCAAGTGTTCTAAAGGCTAGCTTCCGCTTTTAAAGGACCATGTGCATCCAGACGGAAGGGCTCAAATAAAAGACTCATTTTTAAGAAGATAAAAATAAAAGTTAAACACAGGGAATGAGCAGTCTGGGAAGCAGAAAGTAGCAAGCTTCTTGCTGAGCCTCTAATGAAGAGGTAAAGAAAAAAAAAAACGGAAAAGTGTTCTAGATACGTACTTTATTAAGCCATCTTCCATGTAAATATCAGCGTAAAAGGACTGATCATCGTTGACGATTCTGCCTCCCTTGATGAGAAGACGGTCACTCTAGAAAAAAAGGAACATGTGAGTCATTCTCACAGCTAAGATTTCAGAGAAGAGCAGGATGCCAAGGTTCTCCCAACTCATTGCTCTAGAGGTCAAGTAGGAACGCAGGCGTCTGTGTGCTCAGCACACTCAGTATTTGAACTGGGTGTATTTGTTGGGGATCCAGTCTTTCTCGTTTGCCTCGAATTCAAATTATCATGCAGTTTCACCTCTTGCTTCTGAAACTTATCATAGTCACTCAGGGGAGACACTCTTTTTAATTATCTTCTCTGCTTCAGTAAGCACTAAATATTTAAAGTGGGATAAAATATACCTCATTGCCTAGCACCCAGTCTGGTATTCTGTTGGCACTCATTAGCAATTCTCAAAACTAGAACTTAAGATCGGGCATACCATGAAACAACCTTTAAACGTGTTTATAATGACATGGGGGGTATGTTATATTTAAAATTCAGGATACTTATGCGTGTATGCATGCATGCACACAAAGTTGTAGAATGTATAAGAAAAGCACTCAGTGGAAAAATAAGACTAAATAGCTATACTATTGAACTCGAGGTGGGAAAATTATGCTGGAGTCATATTTGCTTCATTATACTCAGTATTTTTCACATTTTCTGAAATGTATTTCTTTCTTGCTTTTGTTATTTCAAATTTGTGTTTTCTTATGAGAAAAGCCTCTTTAAAATTATAACTTAGATGATGTTTGGATAAGTGATCCAACTGGAAACAATGCACATAAACTCCAAGGCTATTAACAAAATAAGAACATGTTTATGTATAAGTTAGGAAAGAGATGTCAGCTTTAGAGATTACAGATTTCATTAAATGAATGAAGCTTAGACTGCAGCATGTGGGATGATGAAGCGATGTTAGGTTCATTGGGGAGAAGAAAATTTCTAAGAGCCTGGCTGAGTGGAACTAGAGCATGAAAAAAAGAATGGTTGGTTGGATTTTGTTAAAAATTCAACTTATGGACTTCAACTCCCTTCCTCCCTTCCTTTCCTCTCCCCTCCCTCCATTATTCATCCATCCACTCAATCAGCAAATAATCATTTAATATTTATTATTAAATAGGTGGGGAGGGGGCAGTTGTGAATTAATCACACCAGGCGATAGCTTTTATGGAACTTAAAGGGGAAGTCTGGCAATAAAGAAAAAAATATGTGAACAAAACAGATGAAATGTAAAATTATATTAGGTGTCACAAAATAGAAGGGGCGGGACTTGTCTAACTAGAGGCTGGAAACGGCGGAATAGCACGTGCAGAAGCCCTGAGGTAGGCAGACGTTTTGTTTCTTTGAAAACCTGAAGAACATCATTGTGGAGGGAGCTTAGGGATCAAGGAGAGAAGCGGCATGAGATGAAGTGGGTGAAGGAGCCTGGATTTCAAAAAGGACATAGGTTTTATGGGGAAGGCAGGCCCACAAACAAGCTGACTTCTGGCTTCAGAAATAACAGTGAACAGGGCTCCAAAACGAGAAATGAAACCAGGGCTCCTTGAGGGATGTTGCAAATTACCACTTCATTTGTCCTACATCCAAGGTATTGCGTGAGAATGAGAAATTTCATCAGGCCATACTGTCAGGGGAGAGGATTTTTAAAAATTACAGATCACTGAGGCACTTAGGGAAAAAAGAAAAACCCTTGCATGTGGCAAGGAAGGTGCGCTAATGAGGCCAAATCCAAACTCCGACCACACGTGGTTTACAAGCCCCTGGTGATCGGGCCTCTGTCCTTATGTCCACCCTCGTTTCTGTCATGTATTGGCTCCATCATTATATTTTATACAGTGGCAAAACTAAGACACGTGTAGTTCTTGTCACCTGTCAGGCTCTCTGGCCTTTGCAAAGATGTTCTCTCTGCCTTCTCACGTTTCCAACCATTCTCTCCTTTATTCAGCCCCCAAAGGGTTTCACTCGTAGGATACATTACCTGACTTTCCAGCAAATTCCACCAGCACCCAGTGCAGTCAAGTTCAAACAATTATATTGTTCTACAGCAGCTGGTTTATTGTTCAATTGTGAAACTATGTCAAGTAGCCAGAAAATTGAACTTCTGAGAAAATGTTTTTTTAAAATTGAAGTTGCTATAATCTACTGTGTTAACAGTAATTGAAAAATTACATGAGGCAATCCTAGGACTGTGCTTTCTAAACTTGGGTGCACGTTAGAAAAATACGGATTCCCATGCCCGGCTCTGGCCACCGAATCTGTATTTTATAAGCTCCACACATTGCTCTTATGCAGTTATCAGCCAGCCCAGGACCAGGTCACAGAGCAGTAGCGGGAACCACTACCCCAAGCACAGTTCTGCTCGTCTATGAGGGCGACAGAGGCATCTCCAGCAGGGGCTCCATATTCATAATAATCTTGGTAACTGTAAGAGCTCCCTCTCATAGCTCAGTGCTCTTCTGAAATTCTTGATCGTTCTATTGTAGCAAAGAGCTGAAGCAAGCTGGTTTTTGGAAAGGAGCCAGTTAATGCCTGAACTGAGACCAGCTGTGAAATATGACCACCCTCCTCCCGGGGACATCCAGCCCTGAGCCATGATTATCACTTCCTTCAACAACTATTAAATGTCAGCACAGGAGCAAAAGCTATCTCAGGCCCAATGTCCATCAGGGGGATTAGTGAGAGCTGATGTGAGTGGAAGTGACACCATTGAGATGGAGTCATTGGAACCTCTTCAAATGATAATTAAATAAACCTTCTCTGGCTCGATAATCGGGGACCTGAACAGACACAACACAAATATGAATTCTAGGCCTAGTAGGTTTCAGAGGCGGGAGTAACAAGACCTCTTCTCCGTGGGCTATAGTGTTAATATTATTATTTGTTTTCACCATGCAGAGCAGAGCTATCAAAACCTCAACTCACAGAGCTCAAAGAGATACTGCCCCTGGGGCCCTCAGCGTATCCCCCTAAAGTGGTTCATCAAACTGCTTTATTAATTTTCATTCTTTCCATGCATGCGGGTTGGAATCCACTGCAAAGGGCAGCCCAGGCAAACTGTCCTCAGACACAGAAGGGCCTGAAAAGCAAGCCTTGGGCTTGGCATTGAAGGATGACATACAACTGACCGCTCCCAAGCCACGTAAAACTAAACCTCACTGGTCACAGAACAGACTTGCCTGTAAATTCATGGACCGGCTTTATAGAGCAGTAACACATGAGAGGGACAAAAACCAACAAGATGAACAAATCTGACATCTACGATT